CACCTACTGTGTGTTATGATCTGGCAACCCCGAAGTGACAATAATCGGGACCACTCCCGGTGATGACCGTAGTTTGAGGAGTTCATGTATTCACTATGTGTTAATGCTTTGGTCCGGTACGCTAATAAAAGGAGGCCTTAATATCCCTTAGTTTCCGCTAGGACCCCGCTGCCACAGGAGGGTAGGACAAAAGATGTCATGCAAGTTCTTTTCCATAAGCACGTATGACTATATTCGGAATACATGCCTACATTACATTGATGAATTGGAGCTAGTTCTTTGTCACCCTAGGTTATGACTGTTACATGATGAACCGCATCCGGCATAATTCTCTATCACCGATCCATTGCCTACGAGCTTTCCATATATTGTTCTTCGCTTATTTACTTTTCCGTTGCTATTGTTATCATCACTACAAAATACCAAAAACACTACTTTTGCTACCATTACCTTTTGCTATCGTTACCACTACTATCATATTACTTTGCTACTCAATACTTTGCTGCAGATATTAAGTTTCCAGGTGTGGTTGAATTGACAACTCAGCTGCTAATACTTGTGAATATTCTTTGGCTCCCCTTGTGTCGAATCTATAAATTTGGGTTGAATACTCTATCCTCGAAAACTGTTGCGACACCCTATACTTGTGGGTTATCAGGACTGTTTTCTGGCGCCGTTGCCGGGGAGCATAGCTCTATTCTTTGAGTCACTTGGGATTTATATCTGCTTATCATTATGAAGAACTTTAGAGATCCAAAAACCAAGATTTATCCCTCAACTACGAGGGGAGGTAAGGAACTGCCATCGAGCTCTGCACTTGATTCACCTTCTGTTTTGAGTAAGCTTGCGACACCTAAACCTGCTTCTGCTATTGATTCTGATATGTCGCCTGTTATTGATGATGCCACTTCTGCTATGCATGATACTTATGATGAAACTACTTCTACGCTTGATACTACTATGCCACTTGATGAATTTCTTGATGAACAACTTGCTAGGGTTAGAGAGAATTAAATTATAGAAACTGATAATATTGATGAAAGTGATGATGAAGACTCTCCCCCTAATAAATATGAACTAGGAAAAATGCTCGTGAGTTGCTACGGGAGGAGAAGAAGTATCACCACACCTTCTTTCTTTACCTTCTGAAACAAGATGATGCTTCTAATTTCTAAAGTTTCGCTTCGGAATAAATGTCAGTTGCCATGAACCAAGGTTGGCTAGGCATACACAAACACACAATATGGAACTGCCATACAATAGTTGAAGCACAATCTAAGTGTTCCACCATTATCATTCACATTATGGTAATATTCAGAAATTCATTCACAGATGGATGCTTTATAATTCTTTATAAATGACCATTAGCAACAAATATATCCCATTGAAAGAGTGACAAATTATTCAGGCACCAATGGGAACACATAGAAAACAGTATTTCCAGAGATCCCATTGAAAGAAATTTATGATAGTAAATATGACAAAGCAAGTATGTCAACCATGCTTAGAGGATTACATCATACTATTTGGTGCTTTCAAATATTATAGCATAATTAAGATACAACATAACCACTGAACGAAATTTCTTCAAAAATAAACATAAATACAATAAAGAAGAGAACTCCTACGATGACATGTTCAAGAGGTACAACATTTATCTGTTTCAAGAAAAAGGGTAAATTGATTAAACTGACCAAAGAGAAAATGCATGGATGCCCAAAATAGAACTTTAAAGAAAGCCAGGGAGAAACTTTGCTAATGTAAAGACCAAAGGGAACAATATGTGAATCATATGTTAGTTGTGCGCATCACGGTCATGAACTTGAGAAAATATATCACATGCCAACTATAAAGACAAACAATGAATTGCATTTCACAAGTTTTTGCAACTAATCCATGACAAACCAAAGAAAGTATAAAAGATGAAGGAAAGGAAAGCTTTATAATCCATGATAAACTGTTAAATTGATTAAGCTTATCAGCATCTATGTTTATTTTGTTTGTATCATCAGAACTGACGCTAGATTTGTTAATAGAAGATAACAATATTACATGCCACAGGATCAATTTGTGTAATGTTTGGTTTCAAAAAGGCGAAAGTAGTGGGTCATCACTCATGAAAGGATAATAGGATTGCCCCCTATCCTGAAGCTACTGATGTGCTCTTGTGGTACAAAGTGTCGTAGTCAAGAGACGAAACAAACAGCGGTGACACTACAGTGGAGGAAGGTTCTGTGAATGTACCAGATGTACTGAGCAACGATCCGGTGGTCTCAATGGCATGTTGTGCATCATGCCATATGTCACACATCCATGGTGCATGTATATGCAGGCAAGGATCGACAATCCTCTCTGCGCTTAGTCCCCTACAAGTAATCATATGATCCCCATGATCTCCAAAACTATATGAGCACATTATCCATGCAGCTAACAGTAGTAAATTAGGTACAAGAATTCATCCTAATAGACAAAGTTGTGGTCCATTATGTACATGTATGCAAAAATAGAACTGCATGAAGCCAATACCTGCACTTGGAGACATGGGGATGCAGCAGGGGCATGCAGGCGAAGCTCATCCAATCACCATGTGTCATCTTTTTTCCATCACTTGAGCTTTTTACTATTCTAGCACCCTGACCTGATTGTGCTACAACTGCACATAGAGAGAATGCAAACAAACACAACTCTTCAGAAAACAACTCAACCAACACACATTAGATTGGCAAAATTTAGTTTTGAATAGTGGATGATTAGATGCCGCCAACTAAAGATAGGAGAGCATGTCAACTGCCATGAGTAGGGATAATGAGAGGAATCGAGCCCTTGTGGTGGGAGTCGGGTCCTAGGGGATGTGGGGCTCCGTCGGCAGCGTGAGATCCACAGAAGCTCAGGGATCCTTAACGTGTCGCCCGACCATGGACCAGAGGCGTCATTGAACAGGGACTATGGAACCAAATGTGTTGCACTGTACTATTTTGAACTGGCAAACATGATTGTTTGTGAATAAAAGTTCAATGACAATATAAGAACCAAGTAGCTCAGCAGTAGTTACCCACAAATGTTGCTCTCCAAATTCCCTTTTCAAGCATTCAGCTGTAGAGATATATTGTGTGTCAAAAAAGACTAAATTGTTATTGTTACTTGCATACTGTCCATTTCATTCTTTCCGAAAGTGTCTGCAGAAACATTTAATTTGCTTGTTATTTAGAAAAACCACGAAAAACATCTTTGATTGATCAATGATCTAGAAGAGTTGGTACCTAAACCGAGTAGGTTATGTGATACTATCTCTGTAACTTAATATAAGGCATTTTTTAACACATTACCGCCAGCCTTGGGAAGCTTCCTTGCCAGTGTGTATCCTATACCTGTTCAAGAGCATGCAAAGGTCACTGAGTAAGAAATAACAATGTTAGTTGAAGCCAATTTCCACATGTGATGGCATATAAAAGCTTATACACTGATTTTGAATGGGAACAACTCACAGTTGCTGAATCAATATTCATGTACTGCTACTCGCTTGCTCGGGCAAACCAATTACCTATATATCCTTCGGATATTCATAGGTGGCGCTGGTTTGTAACAAAGGGATGGATTGTAGTGAACCACCAAAAGAACTGTGGTGTGTACTTGGTAATAACCTTAATCTTGTATGAACTTAGTAGCAATTTTAATCTTTTTTAGATGGTAGCACTCTAACTCTTAATTAAACACACATTTTACTGTATTGATTTGCTTGCCTAGAACCTATGTTTAAGATAGAGAATAATAGAGCACCATTCTTATCAATTTTTTTAGATTATCATGTCGTTTATTTTAGCTACCATCTCTAGGAACAAATTTGAACAGAAATTTTTGGAACGCATTGAGTAGAATTGCAGGAATGGATCAATCAAAATTATAAACTACCATCTATCAATTAGTATAATACCATTAGGAATATGCATTGAATTAGGAATTTAAATAAGCTAATATACCTATGCTGAAATCAACCCATACAACACTCATTCTATATTTTTCCCAGCTCACCCAAAGCCTAAAACAAAATTGTATCTAGGCAAAAAGAAAGGAAACACCTAGCCGTGACTTCTTTATATGATTAAAGAAAATCTGTAGACATACATTTGTCCCCTAGAGAATGAGTTTTCTCACCCAAAGCAACAGGAGTTGGCGTACCCATGTGTCACCCAAAGCAATAGGAGGAGTCTTGCGACTCCACATGATGTAAAGTAATTAGCAAACCATTATTCGAGCTTATGCCGCACCGCCGCCCAACACGCTCAGTTCTGAAACCACATTTCCCTCATGCTCATCTTCCTCGTGTGTGCGAACAAGTTTGGATTCAGTGGGCTGCAGCTGGCTAGAGTGTTGCTACTCTGCAGGGACGATCTACTGCTGCAACTGCAGCACTTCATACTTGTATCCCAGTTAATTATGTACCCATCTACTACATATGTATACCTGCCAATGCAAGTTGTCTTTAGATTAGGAGTTAGAAGAACGTAACATACCGTATGCAGAGTATGAGGCCAGGACAATGATATAGGCTTAGGCTCTTTTGATGAAATAGCAGTAAGGTACTGATGTGCTACCAGAAGCCTTATAGGGTGTGGGATACCTGCTGCTGTATGGCTTGAATGACTTTGTTTCGCCCTGCAAATACGTTGATATTCTTTTTAAGCAATATGCCTAATCAAATGAAACTCTGAATGGAGCACAGTCTAATTCAATGAGCATTGAAATGCATATAACATAACTCCACTGAATTGTTTTCTATTTGGTACTTCTACTTGAACTGTAAAAGCATCCGTTGAGACATAAGAAATGTGAATAAAGTATCAGAGACAACTATCCTTACAAGTTCAGGAGCAAAATCTATCTCATGGTTTCCAGCTGTCCAGATCCAAGGCTGGTATGCGAGATTCCGCCGTACAAATCTTGCCCACATATCCCACCTTGTATTATCAATTTATCATGATATGGGCAATTATCGGCATTTGTCAGGTCCCGACAAAAAGCACTGCCTGGGCTTTTGAATTGGACTCATAATGAGCGAGCGTGACATTGGAGTCGAAACTCTGACTGAGATCACCTAAACACAATAGTAAAATTCTTAGTAATATTACTCATAAACTACAATAGTAAAATTATGTTGGAATTCAGACATGACCATGCAAGTTATATTCTGAGTAAATTTGACAATACCTATCAGACGAAATGTATATGGCACATTTGGGCCACTTTTCGGAGGGGTCCTAAACCAAATATTTTCCAGCGTCTCTTCAGTTCCAACGGCATAGTAATACTTTGTGTCAAACTGCAAGAAAAGTCATAATTAAGCCTTGAATCAAGATTCCAGCCTTCATAAAACATAAGCATCAAATGTTTGATGTGCCAGTAACCTTCAGGTTCTTGATTGTACAATGATGAATGTATCCTGAGGTATATTTGTAGAACATATACCGCGAATGCTTTCCCTTTGCAGAACAATTGAGATTATCTTATGAAGTCCCGTAAAACACAATGCTCGATCCAGGTTCTGACTGTTTTCACCCATGAGATTATGATGGTTGTACTGTTGTGGTTGCCTTGTCTGATATGAACCTGTTAGAGCACCTAATCAATTAGTATGAGAGTGGAAGCCACAAACAACACCATGATTGAGCTGCAGAAAAGGGTAGACACTGATCCTACAGCTCCCTCCTTGCTGATTGCTGATTTGTGATTGTATTAGAAGATGGGAGAAAAGAAACATGGTCAGACCTTTAGATTGTATGGCATGCGCCGAGGAGGCCAGCCATCCTTCTTCCACGGTTCTTCTTCTCCCTGAATCCTGATCGTCATACTCCCTCTCCTTTCTTCCTCTGTTTCCTCTCTCCCTCAAGCCCTTCTCTTTCCTTCTCTGGATGAGCAGGACGCCGTTGGCACCGGAACAAGCCGCCGCTCCAACCGCCAGATCGGTCGACGCCGTGCCCGGATATGCTCGTCTTCCTCGCGCCGACACCGCGCCTTGCATCGCCTGCCGGCCGCCTACCCGTTCCCACAGCTTAGGCATCTATATCGGGTTGGGGGAGGGGAGGGAGCGGGGAGGATGGTGGTGGTCGCCTCCGGTGCAAGGTGAGGTCGAGCAGCGGGGTGGCCTACGCCAGTGCCAATCGAGGCAAAGCGGTGGGGGCGATGCAGCACCTATTCGGGACCTTTTTTTCTATCGCGAATCGTTAATTCACTTAGGGACGTGAGTGCGGTTTGAATACCTAAAACCGCGACCCTAATTAGTACCACCTCGTTTATATTGCGATTTTGTCCCTATAAATCGTAAAAGCGTATTATGACATGAGAAGAATGCGTATTGTGATGGTGAACCCACGGAGTCAATCCGTCCTTTATTATTAGGGAGAGATTGCCTGTTGTTCCTGAGGGTTATGTTCTGGATGAAGAATCTGCTAGAGCTATTTTAGCTTGCAATGATATATATGATCTAAAGAGGTTATTAGCTAAATGGAAGCAGCAATCCCTTAATGCTAGAATGAAACCTGACCCTGCTTTTGCTACTTCACCTATCTATGTTACTGATAAGGATTATGAATTCTCTGTTGATCCTGATATAATAACTTTGGTTGAATCTGATCCTTTTATGGCTATGAATCTGAAACTGTTGGGGCACATCTTACTAAATTAAATGATATAGCCACCTTGTTCACTAATGATGAGAGAACTCGCTACTTTTATATCCTTAAAATATTTCCGTTCTCATTAAAGGGTGATGCTAAGATATGGTTTAATTCTCTTGATCCTGGTTGTGTGCGTAGTCCCCAGGATATGATTTATTACTTCTCTGCTAAATATTTCCCTGCTCATAAGAAACAAGCTGCCTTAAGGGATATATATATATATATATATATATATATATATATATAATTTTGTGCAAATTGAAGAAGAGAGTCTCCCACAAGCTTGGGGGAGGCTTCTCCAATCACTTAATGCTTTGCCTGATCATCCTCTTAAGAAAAATGAAATACTTGATATCTTTTATAATGGACTAACCGATGCTTCCAGAGATTACCTGGATAGTTGTGCTGGTTCTATTTTCAGGGAAAGAACACCGGATGAAGCTGAAATTCTATTAAATAATATGTTGACTAATGAAAATAATTGGACACTTCCTGAGCCTATTCCTAAACCAACGCCGAAGAAGAGAGGTGTTCTATTTCTCAGTCCTGAAGATATGCAAGAGGCAAAGAAATCCATGAAAGAAAAGGGTATTAAAGCTGAAGATGTTAATAATTTACCTCCTATTGAAGAAATACATGGTCTTAATTTACCGCCTGCCGAAGAAATGCATAATTTTAATCCATCTCCTATTGAAGAAATGCATGGTCTTGATAACCCGACACAGGTAGTAAAGGTAAATTCTCTCTATAGATATGATAAAGCTGAAATCCCATTTACTAAGTTTGCTAGCCCATGCTTAGATGAGTTTGATAAATTTATGGTTAAGCAAGAAGACTTCAATGCTTATTTTGGTAGAGAATTAAAACACAGTGCTGGTATGCTTGAACACTTGGGTTATTATATGGCTAATGTCAAAGGTGAACTTAAACTTATTAGTAAACATGCTTCTATGGTTACTACTCAAGTAGAACAAGTACTTAAAGCTCAAAATGATTTGCTTAGTGAACTGAATAGCAAGAATAATGATAATGCAGTTAGAGTTATGACTAGAGGTGGTAAAATGACTCAGGAACCTTTGTATCTTGAAGGCCATCCTAAGAGAATTGAGCAAGATTCTCAGAGAAATAATATAGATGCACCTAGTCCTTCTAAAAGGAAGAAAAAGAAGAATGATAGGACTTTGCATGCTTCTAGTGAACCTATTGCTGAAACACCTAAGAATCCAAATGATATTTCTATTTCTGATGCTGAAACACAATCTGGTAATGAACCTGAAACTAGTGATAATGTTAATGATAATGTTCATGTTGATGCCCAACCTAGCAATGATAATGATATAGAGATTGAACCTGCTGTTGATCTTGATAACCCACAATCAAAGAATCAATGTTATGATAAGAAAGACTTTGTTGCTAGGAAACACGGTAAGGAAAGAGAGCCTTGGGTTCAGAAACCCAGGCCTTTTCCTCCCAAACCATCCAAGAAAAAGGATGATGAGGATTTTGAGCGCTTTGTTGAAATGATTAGACCTATCTTTTTGTGTATGCGATTAACTGATATGCTTAAAATGAATCCTTATGCTAAGTACATGAAAGAAATTGTTACTAATAAAAGAAAGATACCGGAAGCTGAAATTTCCACCATTATACTTTTAAGGGTGGAGTACGAAAGAAACTTGGAGATCCAGGAGTACCCACTTACCATGCTCCATTAAAAGAAACTACGTTAAAACTGCTTTATGTGATCTTGGAGCCGGTGTTAGTGTTATGCCTCTCTCTTTATATCGTAGACTTGATTTGAATAAGTTGACACCTACTGAGATATCTTTGCAAATGGCTGATAAATCAACTTCTATACCTGTCGGTATTTGTGAGGATGTGCCTGTTGTGGTTGCAAATGTTACTATTTTAACGGACTTTGTTATTCTTGATATTCCCAAGGACGATAGTATGTCTATTATTCTTGGAAGACCCTTTTTGAATACTGCAGGGGCTGTTATTGATTGCAACAAAGGCAATGTCACTTTTCATGTTAATGTTAATGAGCATACGATACACTTTCCAAGGAAACAACCTCAAGTCCACAGTATCAACTCTATTGGAAAAATTCTATCAATTATTTTTGGAGGTTTTGAATTTCCTCTTCCTACTGTCAAGAAGAAATATGATATTCTTATTGTTAGGGATGTGCATATCCCCGTTGAGGTAACCTAGTGTTATTCGAAAATTCTCCGGTTTCATGTTATTCGAAATGAGTTTGTTAACAAGACTTGATCAACCTTGTTAATGAATTACTTTTGATGATCATGAGATGGATGAATTTAGAAAACACAACTCTCTGTACCCTCCTTTTACTTTAAGTTATTTATATTAAATAAAATTAAAATAAGTATTTTTCGTCAGTTATCTGATTTATCCGTGCAATATAAAAATACCCCAAAATAAAAGTTCTCCAAATGCCCTAAAATTTAAATATGATTTTTTCTGGAATATCTGAGAATATTTGGCACTCAGAACACAGCATGGGGGGCATCCACCTGGCCACGAGGGTGGAGGGCGCGCCCTACCCCCTGGGCGCGCCCCCTTGCCTCGTGGGCCCACGGTGGCCCTCCTCCACTTATTCCTGCACCCACGCACTCCTTCTTCCTCCCACAAACATGATTATCCAGTTCAAACCCGAGTCCAAGCTCATTTTGCTGCCATTTTCTATCCTTGCTCAAAGCACCTCTCACAAAACTGCTTGGGGGGATTGTTCCTTGGTATGTGACTCCTCCATTGGTCCAATTAGTTTTTGTTCTAGTGCTTTATCCATTGCAAATTTATGCTGCCTAGGTGACCATGTTCTTGAGCTTGCATGTCAAATTTATATGGTTCCAAGTAGTTTTGATGCATAATATAGGCTCTAGGCACTTGTAGGAGTAGTTGCTATCAATATTGTTGAGTTTGGTTCACTTTTATTTTGAAGTTACTAAAAATTTCAGAAATTTTTCAGAGGAAGAAATATGTTTAGGAAAATGTACCAAGGTGGCTCTTCAAGGAAACAAGAGCCCAGGCTTGCAATGCATGATGCTGATGATGAGCCACCAAGGGACGCTCCAGTACGGCCCTATGAATGGCCTTCAGAGGACTTTATGGATTGAGCGGAAATCAAGGAAGAATTTAACGCATATTTGCGGAACGCTGATCTTGTGAGCTTCGAGGAGGAAAAGTGCCGCCAGTACCACTATCTCACTAGTTCCTTTGTGAGGAGGTTTGAATTTTCATCTTCACACAATTCTCCAACTGTGCTGTTTGATCTTTATGAAAAATCTTATACGATGGACTTAGAGGATTTTACCATTGCTTGCAAACTTCCACAATGGGGTAGTGTTAGGGAACCTCACAAATCTGAATTTAGAGATTTTCTTGCTAGTATAAATGTGGGGGAATCTAGAGATATAACACAAGCTACCATACGGAGCATTCACTTTCCTGCTATACATTATTTTGCTCTCTTCATAGGTAGATGCATTAATGGTAAAGATGAGGCATGTCACATGTGTGTCCCTGACGTCAGTATTCTTAGGAGTGCTGTGTTAGGAGATAAATCTTATAATTTGGGAGCCATTGTTGCACGTAGGTTGCATCTTAATAGATTTAATGGAGATTTCTTTGGTGGAATTTATGCAACCCACATAGCTAATTTTCTTGGTATAACCATACGTGAAGATGATATTGAGTTGCCTCCTGCTTATTTGGATTATGAGTCTACGGTTCGTCATCGGTTTGTTGAGAGGAACGGTCAGTTCCTCCAGTACCGACTAATCTTTGACAGACGACGCACCTATCACGTCGCTCTCCTTGCTTCTACTTTCTTTGACTTTCAGGCAAAAAGGAGATATTTTGTAACCAGAGAGGAGGCGGAAGAGTATAAGAGGAGAGCTGAGATAGCTCGCCTCCAAGCTGTAGCCGACGATGCAATGACTGCTGCATCGCAGTACGACCCCTACTATTACTATGGATATCCTCCAGGCCAACCGTGGCCATAGACCAACTTAGGCCAAAAGCCTAAGCTTGGGGGAGTACGTATTTCTCACCGACATTATATTCATGTTCACACACTCATTGCTAGATGTTGGTGCTCATACTTTTTCATTGTATCATCCATGCTAGTTTATTTCCTTTTTATGCTTT